GCGCGTCCCCTCGAAAAATATTTCGATCCCTCGGGTAGGGATATTCGGAAACTTACGATCCCTCGCCGTACCTATCGAATGAGTTATTTTATCTGCTTGGGAAGGAGAACATGGCGCTTCACATACAGAGAACAATAAAAGCTGAACAAGTTAATAGCTATTGTATAACAAGACAGCGGAAGAAGAAGTATTGTGCAAGACTGACATTCTCATCGGCACAAATAGTCACTCAACATGAGATTTATGATCTATTGAAAAAATACTATTACGATTTCAGAAATGTTTAGATAAATACAACCTTCAACGTAATATAAAATAGGGGTGTGACACTTACCTTAAATTAGTACTAACTTTTAACTTATCAAGTTAGTAAGTTAGTTCTAACTACTAACATATAGGTGAGTAAATGAGAAGTTAGAACTAACTTACTAACTTGATAAGTTAAAAGTTAGTGCTAACTTCTAACTTAACTTCCACTAACGTAAATGTGACACCCCTAATATAAAACATAAATCATTATTGCGATACGTACGAATTATAAAGTCCATTTAGTACGATACAGGTGAGTATTTTGAGGACGCAGAAACATGTGATGCAGTGGCAAGTGCGACAGAACGCAAAAAACATTCAGCATGACGAAGTTTTTTTTGTGTGTATAAATATGTAACAAACTTCACTCTATTCACAAAACAACAACGTCTACACACCACAACCACTCTTGTTACGAGAAGAACACACATGGGCAAACTCGACGGCAAAGTTGCTCTCATCACTGGTGCCTCCGAAGGAATAGGTTTCACCACTGCTGAACAATTTCTTGCCGAAGGTGCAGAACATGTCTTCATCACTGGACGACGCCAAGAAAAACTGGATGAAGCTGTGAAGAAACTCGGCGGAAAGAACGTCACTGGTGTACAAGGTGACACAGCTAGTTTAACAGATTTGAATAAACTCTACGCCGTCATCAAAAAAGAGACAGGTCGTCTGGATGTTCTCTTCGCTAATGCTGGCATCGCGCAGTCTACACCATTAGAATCGGTCACTGAAAAACAATTTGATGATTTGATCAATGTGAATGTGAAAGGAGTGCTCTTCACCGTTCAAAAAGCTCTACCACTACTCGTCGATGGTGCATCAATCATTCTCAATGGATCGGGTGCCTCTATCAAAGCTGCTCCAGCTAGAAACGTTTACGGTGCAACAAAGGCGGCTATTCGATCGTTCGCTCGTTGCTGGACAGTCGACCTAAAGGAGCGGAAAATTCGTGTCAATACTCTCAGTCCAGGAGTGATTGACACTCCAATGGCAAAGGGTTTTATGAAGAGCAGCGCAGAAAATAGTGAACATATTGCTAAAGTTTTAGCTGCCACGCCACTGGGGCGCGTTGGCACATCTGACGAAATCGCCAAAGCTGTGGTCTTCTTAGCTTCTGACGACAGCAGCTATGTCACTGGCATCGAACTTTTTGTTGACGGGGGCGTAGCGCAGATCTGAATAGTTTATTGTTGTCTCTATGTAATCTTCCAAGAATATGTATCGTAGAAAATGAGAGTTTATCTCAAATATACTTCTCTACTGATTGTGATTGCTCGTTTTTGAGAGTGACAATTTTCAAGGGAAATACAGTATGATCCACCTATTTTTACTAGTGTTCTTCGATCACCTATATTTCAATAATATTTCAAAAGTTATTGATCTCTATATGCCTTTATAGAGCATCGATGGCTCTATCCAAGTATGTGGTTTTCTTTTGACGGATAATATATCTTGATAGCAAACAGGATGAATTCCGAAAAGCCAGCAAACAACTTTTTTTCCCGTGAAATCTCAAGAGTATCATCCTCAGTAATTTGAGCAATTGTGACGAATAGAATATATAACTCAGTCTGGTTCAGTTACAAGGTCTTATGTCTAATCAGAGATTATACGACTAGTATTGAAAATGAGTCAACACAAAACTGTTCGATATTTCAACAGTAAAATTTAATTTCTTCCTCAAATTCAAATAGTTTCACTCAGTATTTGACGTAACCCTAAGTTTAACAGATCTTTCTCCTCTGAAGCTATTTTCGCAAGAATCGGATTTGGTGAGGTATGAGAAAATGAAATTATTTCCCAGAAAAAGAAATTACCAATTCATGCAGTGGAAATTTGTGAAATTACCAGTTCACGAAGAAGAAGTTTCCGAAATTATCTAGACAGTTACCAAAAGTATACCATATTCCAATTACCCGCAGAAAACAGTTAAAAAACTACACAGAAATTTCGGTACTTTTGGTAATCACCAAAGAGACAGTATTGTCGTTATGATAGACATGCATTGCTTAGAGAAGCCCACCCCTAACATCGGCAAAAACTTAGGTAATTTCGGTACTTCCGATAATTGCCACATAACAGTATACTTGTTCGGGAACAGCTGGAATAGCATTGTCGGCGTATCGCGAGGCATATCGCGGTAGAACTAGAGTTCATTTCTAAATCGAAATCGCTCTAGATTTATTGAGACGGGTACTTGCGTAGGTACTCATTCAGTAAACATACTAATGCAAGTACCGCTGCAACTACCTAACCTAGTATAGTTACTGAGCATTTTTAAAGTACCACTGATCGATGTTTTAGCACTGACTTAACCTCAGTATTGACAAACAGTATTTTCTCAAGTACTGACATCGTTTTTACCAGTATTTCAGTACTGAGTCGGTAATTTTCGACCATGCAGAAATACAGAGCCAAGCATCTCGCATGTCTATGCATCAATTTTTTGTTGAACTAGTGGGCCTAGTAAACCACTATTGTGTTCACTACTGAATACAGTACTCTTGCCGACAGTACTGACGTGCAGGTTTGTTGCAAGTACTAACGAAAACAGTGTCCGCACGACCAGTAGGCGCACTAGGGTGAACTTAGTACTTCGACTAGGGAACGAATGTGATCCCGATAGCGGTATACCACAAAAACATATTTTTGTCACAGGTGTTACTAGCGGCCTTGGGCCTGAAGTTGGTCGAGCATTGGCATGCGCTCGAGCAAAGTATACGTTGGGGAGGGGACCCATTATAGAGATTCTGGATATACTGTCAAACGCTTTTAACTATTTTTAAAAATTGTCGCTAGTTGTCCAAAAAAAGGCAAATTCCTGCTGAGTCGATGAATTTTTGTTTGTGTTAAAAGCTCACTTATCAAATTTATAGCGTGATATAGACATGACCATCCATTAAACCTCCCGCAGTGCGAATCAAACTGGCGGCAACTGCCTGTTTGCCAGTATCATCCATTTTGCTGTATAAAAAACTGTAGACAGGCTGAAGATTTTGTCCACTAACATAGACTTGGTCTATATAAGTGAGGACGTCGCGAATCATTCTCATGGCTGTGTGTTAATAGTCCCATGCCAATTTGAGCGTAGCCAAGAATTCTGTCGAAGGCGATTCGACAATATCTTGTCTTACCTACACAAACACCGAAGAACAACGCGTGAAAAAACAAGAAAGGAGGCAGTGTAGCGTACTTCTTGAACAAGATATTCATTGATCATCGAGTACCCGTATAGAGTGTTTCGCCATGTCTATGCACTACCATTGTGTACGCGTTTCGATAGAGTTCCTCGAAAGACGATTTGAAATTATGATGCTTTAACATTTCTTGAATCTCCGGCTTCAGCGAGATAGACCAAACATGATTCACATATCGATCGTCCATCGGCGACTGAAATAGAAAAGTAAATATCGAATTTTGAACATCACAAGTGATAGTTAATGCTAATAATCGGGCCCAATAACCTAATTATTTTTTTCTTACTCGCTATTCAGAGTTCAAAAACAAAACAATGCGAAGAAGGAATGATGAAGAGCGAATATAAAATGTACAAGTGCCGCCAATTGACGCTAACATATGAAGAAATCAAGCGTCTACCGGTGATACTTACAAACAATTTACGGATCCGAGTGTTTATACTTTTGTCGTCGACATTTGTAGGTGGTGCACTCATAGTTCTTAGGAACGATGCAATCGTTTTCGACAACGTACCGCGCAATGTGCACGGTCAAATCGATCTTTGGCTAAATGAGAAAATTTGCACGATGTAGCTGGCGATAGAGTCGGACAGCAAACGTAACAAAACATGAATAAGCAACATGTCTTGATGAATGTATGGCTCACGACACACTTCTTGTGGCCACACGTTTCCTTCCATCGTTCTCCCGTCGCAACGCAAAATCGTAACAGAACCGCACGTCCAACCTGTTATTGATAATTATGCGGAAGATGTATCATGTGATGATCTAGGAACAAATCTCGAAACTGTATAGGTCATATCAGGTAGTGAATAGACATCTTATTTCTCTTTCGTTCTTCCCTTTTTGTTTACTCATTGAAATTATCATGAGGTAAAGACACGACAGCAATTATAAACGTGATATGTCGTTCTATAGTACTCTTATTTTCGAGCTGAAACTTTCCAAGTTAGACACTTATGTTTGTATTAGCTTTATCCTTACGAAATCGAACGGCTACGCATGTAGTACTTCAACCACCTTCAGTACTCGTAAACAGAAATGATCATAATCGTCGCCCATGAATATTCAGTAACGCGTCTTTATTGGTTTTGCTCTCTGCTCTTGCTGTTTTCTCGATTTTCATAGAAAAAAGATTCATAAAACGTAGGTATTTTTATGCTCACTTCATTAATGGAGATATTATTCTAATGTAAAAAGTACTTCTTGTACGACTTTCATTGAGAAGGTTGGAATTATAGTCATGATAACTTTAACGCAAAAACGCATTGTTTAACCCGAATCATATTGTTTTCTTCTGATCAATCATTTTAAACGCTTACAATCAATACTATAGCAATGTCAATCATTCCTGAAACTCCCTTTGTTAAATATCAGGTAATTAGAATTAGCAAGTAAGTGATTGCAATAATTTACTCCATGATTGTGGTTTAGGCAAGGCTCCGATATACCTACTTAAGTAAGTCTCTTAGCAAAAAAATAATATTATTAATTTTCTCTATTTGGTAAAAAGTGCAAACT